CAGCACCGCTCAAGTCAAGCAAAATGGAACCCGAGGCACAAGGTAATCAAAGCGGGCTGGCAACTCACAGACAAGGTCCTAGCTACTGACCTTGTCTTCCACCAAATAGCAACGAAAATCCAACTGACAATCAACTTGACGGGTGAGATCATGACAATGATAAGAGGGCAAGGTCATGCCTTGATGCCTCAAAGTGGGGGCGTTGACTTCTGAAAGTGACTTTAAGCAGGGTGCGTTGGAAATGATTCAAACGTGTTATGCTGGCAATGGAAATGGAAGTGCTGAAACTGTTTGGTCGTCGTGTGAAACTGTCACTTGTGGGGATCAAAATGCTGTGAGGTGAGCCTTGTCAGCCTTGACACCCCAGGCCCGCAGAACGAGGCCCTGCACCCTGCTCCAGTGATGCACGAAGGGCATGTTCACTGGCGGTGTTTGCCCAATAGCATCCAATAGCACTTTGGACTTGCAGGTCGACGTGCATGTTCTCTTCAAGCCTGGACATTATGATCTACTTTATCCAGGCAAGTCATCGAATCGCTCAGGAGTGTTGTGCTCATATCCAAGGCTTGACCATTTGATCTGGGATAGTTTTTCCCGAGAGCGTCTGCGAAGGGTTTTTCGTAAAAAAACATCTGTAGAACTACGTCTCATCTACATCTTCGCATCTTCACATCTGCACATCTACATTTGCACATCTACATCTCTGCTCATCTTCACATCTTCACATCTGCACATCTACATCTTCACATCTTCACAGTTGTTTTTTTGTCCGTCTCTTTCTCCATGTCTCAGCGGTCTGCGAAAAAGTTCGCAGGTCTTTTGACCTGGGGCGGCCGCAAGAAGCTTTCAGTTTGCCTGTCAGCTCCACCTTCTCATTGACCATTTTGGTCTTGGCGCGACAGTGGATGCATTCAAGCGTGGCACCCAGGCGCTGCATCTCATGAGTTGGATGCCCTGTCCATTTGGAGGCTTCCAGCGGCCGTGATGGCATGGGGAGCCCACAATCAAAGCGAGTGAACTGCTCCTCACTTGCCCTTGCCAGCATGTAGCTCCTGCACTGCTGACACCGGAGATAGGCCTTGTCCAGCCGCAAGAAGTGCTCACCTGGCGGAGTGCCTTGTGCTTCAAGAAGATCGTGGATGACCTCAAAGCGGGTCTTCCTGATTTCTTTGTTGGGAGTGGCATTGGAGCAGGGCGTGGAGAGGCCCTCCTTGATCTCTTTGAGGAGAGATTTGGCATGAAATCTTGTTTTGCATAGACTGCATTGAACTGCTGATCTGAATGGCTTCCATTGATGACCATGTTGGTCAGGACGGGCCAGGGAATGAGCCAAAAGGTCTCTCTTTTGTTGGATCAAACGAACCTTGGCCGGGCTGTCAACTTGATCCTTCTTGTGGAGGAAGTGTGATTTGTCACGCAGAAGAATATCCATTCGTTCAGCGGCCGCAAAGAGGATGTCACGAGTGTCCTCGTCCACATGTCTCTGCAGGTCAAGGATTTCTTCCGGCCAAGCCAAAAGGGCGGCCTGCTTGGCCTTGGCTTGCGTGTCCTTCTGGAAGAGCTTCCTGTTGTGGTTGGAGTCGATTTTGTGGGAGCTGAAGAGACGCAATCTGACCTGATCGAAATCCTCACGCTCGAGATCTTGACATAGATCCAGAAAGTGCTCGTAGGCTGCCATCCAGGACCACATTTTCCAGACAGAATGACTGAAGATGGCCACGTGCACCTTGTCACTGACATGCATGGAGAGGTGCTTGGGGGCATAGAAGAAGGCCCGATTGCGAGTGGCCTTCCCGGGGCAAATGCCCGTGAGCGACGCTACTCTCTCTTTGGTGAGGACCTGATGAACACAGATGGCAAAGACATAGCGCTTGCGCCTGGGGTCTTTACATATCAGCGCAATAGCCACAGAACAAGCATGGCCAGTGGCAAAGTGAAAGTTTCCAGGTTCTCCCAAAGCCCTTCGCCGTTGAACGTTGGTTGCCATGCCCCCATCCTGGATGTAGGAGAGGCTCTGGGTCATGCCTCGATTCCAAAGCTCAGGGTCGGTCCCAACTCGAAGCCCTTCCTGCCATTGTGTTGGGAGGGCCTTGACTCTTCCTTCCCAAAAGCTGCATTGCCAGAGAAGATGGATGAAAGTCGGGTCTTCTCCACAGAGCAGACATGAGCCTTCTTGTCCATGGAGGGTGCCTTGATGGAAGGCCCGCAAGGCTGTGCTCTGCCGTTCCGCGCGCATCTTCTGCGCGCTCAGGCTCACTGTCCAATCCAATGGCCTTTCCAGGTCGTGGCAGCCCTGGTAGCGTGTCAAGCGTAACAGGCGCTGCCAGCGGAATTCCTCAAGCAACTTGTGTTGCAGGTCAGGCCAACCATCCACGAGTCGAATCTCACAGTCAGGGATTCTGCCATAGCCTGTCCTCTTCCAAAGCTTGCCATTGGAGATGTCAAAGTCGTAGTCCAAAAAGTATGCCTGGAGAGCCTGCATGGGACCAGTGACATCATGCCGTCTGTATTTGGCCTTCAAAAGAAGATCCAGGGCCAAGTTCCAGCCAATCGAAAAGAGATGTTGAGCACTTTCATCAAAGGTGTGATACACCTTCCACACAGTGTGGATGTGTTGGAGGATGATGGAGTCCCCTGCGTCCGCTTTGGTCGGGTTCATGTCGTAGACAACATCCACCGAACCAGATCGCTGGAGCCTCAATCCTCTGGCCGCCATGACCCTGATCTGTTGTCTCCGCTGTGGAGCCAGACCGTTTGCTTGCGCCCCCCACATCATCACAGGGTGGATTGCACCTCGATGGAGTCTGTACTTGACATGTGGATTCAGCTTCAAACGATGCGTGATCCCTGCTCGCCCTGCACCCTTGAGGTATCTTTTCTTGATCTGAATGACCCGCCGCCTTCTGGAGTTGGTGGCATCGATGCCCAAGTCGCGAAGGACGTTGTAGTGCTTTGGGTCAGGCTCCTGCAGATTGGCATCCAAGGCTTTGCCTACCTCTTTGCTGCTGGAAATAAAACCAGTTTTGTCTGGACCTGAAGGCCAGAACAGCTTCGCGGGCGACATAGTGAGGATCTGTGCCTTTGATGTCAAAGGAGACGTCATCTACCCATCTCTGCAAGAGGACTGGCGGGTGGTCCTGGACCAGGGCCCTGAGAGGCTTGTAGAGGACTAATTTGGCAATGGCAGGCGCAAGGCCAACTTCAGGTGAAGCGGAGGGTAGTGAAGATCCATGGCCGGATCTGCCAAGCAGGAGACCGTGTAGACCCCTTGGTGCTTCCCAATCTCAGCCTTGAGCATCCTGCCGACGGCGATCGAAAGGCAGTCTCGATGAGGGCGTGCTTGGTCCCAAGGCATGTCTCTGTCCAGACCCATCTGCCACTGCTGAAGTTCGAATTTCCTGTACCTGTTCCATAACCGGTACAGGCAGGATGTGAGTGCAATTGGACGTTCGACGCGTTCGTTCTTGGGTATCAAGCCGATGTTTGTGTAGCGCGTTTGGACTGGCAGCAAAGCAGTCTTTTCCATCTCGGTAAGGAGTTCAGCTAGCCGGCTCCATCCAATATGGAAGAACCTGCCGGCAAAGAAGGTGGTGCCTGAGTAGGCCCACAAATGATGGGCAACGTCATGATGCTTGTAGTGTGTGGGCAGAACGTGTGGCAAAATTGCGTTCGCGATGTCGCAGCGCCATGCGGATTTGCGCGGCCTTGGTGGGAAGTGCGTTCGCGTCACGCCGTGCCACTGGCGAGCGCGAAACATGCTGGTGTAAACGCGGCGTGCCGCTGGTGAGCGGGACGATTGGCGGTATTGTGTGATAGGATTGCTTGCTTCTAGCGCGTGGGCAGACCGTGTGGCCAAATTACGTCCATGATGTCGCAGTGCCACGCGGATTTGCGCGGCCTTGGCGGGAAGCGCGTTTGCGTGTCGGCGTGCCACTGGGGAGCGCGAAACACGCTGGTGTAAACGCGGCGCGTCGCTGGTGTGCTTTAGATCAGTTTGATTCGAACCTCTTCAGCGTTGCGCTTGCACCGCGAGAAAAGGAACGGTGGGCGCTCCAGACTCTCCCGTTGCATCTGCACAACGGCGTCTACACACCCTCACCTCTGTACATTTACATTTTCACACGCTCACATCCGCAGATCTACCTCTCTACCTCCACACACACACACATCTGCGCATCTATATCACACCTGCGCATCCACACTGTCACTCCTTCACATCCGCCCCCTCTTTCTCTCTTTCTACATAGCTTTTCTCTTAATTTTAAGATGTCATGGCTCTTGGACAACTCGATTCAAACTATTTCCTTATTCGGAAGTGCTTGACAATCACCTGTCTCGCTCTCGGGCCAACCGTCGTCTAGTTAAAAAGATGGAAAAAGCCTTTTGCGCAGGCGTCCGACACTGACCTGTTCAAGGGATTCTGTGTGAAGCTTCTTGAGGCAATGCTTAATCACTGAGCCCGAATTCAATCTTCAGGTCCTTGTGAGGACAAAAATTGTTCTCAGACATGGCATCACCCTGCTCTTTGCATCATTCATGGCATGTTTGTCAGGCCCAAGGACTTGCACGGGAATTTGTGGCGTGATGACAGTAAAACTGAGATCATGCAGTTTTGAAGATGTGCTGCATTGCAGCATCATTTTTTCAGCGTGGGCAAAGCCAGCGAACAACAGAATACATCCGCAAGAACGTTGTTGTATGTAGCTTTGGCCTTTAATGCTGACGTTCGGAATTCAGAACACCTGAAGGACACATGAAGTGGACGCATACAGAAACTCCACATGTGACGGACCTTTTTTGCGTTGTGTCAGGAGGTTTTGTTCAGTATGCTACTGGGTGCCAGGGTTGAGTAATTTGTGCAGTGTTTGTGTGAAACCGGGCAACAACTGATTAACATTATGTTGCACCTTGCATTTTATTTCCATGGGATTTAGTGCATTTTGCCAGCTTGATTGGACATATTTGAGTATGATATCATCATGGACTCATATTATGATCAGGCACACATTCTCACAGCGCTTCATCCGCGTACCCAACACGTTGTTTGGAGCTCAGACCCCAATCGTTGATTGTTTTCCATCAGAAAAAGAACGAAGATCCTTTGTCGCAAAAGCGGATGAATTGCACTTAAGTATTCATGTTCATTCAAGCTATCAATCTTATGAATGAAGCAAACGCTACTAGGGGCTCCTGGCCTTACTACTAGGAGCAAGAACGCTACTAGGGGCTCCTGGCACCGCTACTAGGAGCAAGGACGCTACTAGGGGCTCCTTGAATGCTCACTGTTGAGGTTCTCATTGGAGACCACCAACAGCTGCGCCCGTCGACTGCGGTGAGGTCCTCAGAATCTTACAACCTACGGGGCAGCGATGGTAGTATAATTGCCCAAACCAATCCAAGCACATTACGTGCAGAGTCCGGAGGCTGAGTGTTCGCTCAAGAAGTGAAAGCCAAATAGAGAATGAGTCTGTTGTATAGCATATGAGCGTCGTTCAAAAACCCACCTCTTCCTTGTTAGTAATCGAATTTCAAAGGCTGATTTCGATTGTGCTCTCACTGCAGTCGCGAAAGGTTCGCGAAGGTCCTGCGAAAGGTCTGCGCAAGTCATGTTGGTGACCTGGCCACGCTGCAAGAACAATTGCTCTTCAGACTTCCGATTGCTTTTTCCCGGGTTGGGAAAAAGCAAATTGGAAATCTGAACCATTTTGCTTTTTCCCGGCCCGGGAAAAAGCAAATTGGAAGTCTGAGCCTTTTGCTTTTTCCAGGCCTGGGAAAAAACAAATTGGAAGTCCGAACCATTTTGCTTTTTCCCGGCCCGGGAAAAAGCAAATTGGAAGTCTGAGCAAACTGGCCTGACTGAGC